AGTCAAAATACGGAAAATCGGCCGCCATCTTGCCCCACGACCGAGTTTAAAGAGGAATGGCTCTAGCGGATAATGTGACGTCAAATCGAGAACACGAAAGTCTGCATTTCACACATTTTCGCTTGTTTGGGAAGGTTGTAGTCGATTTTGTCCGAAAATATGCCGACTAAGTGTGTTGTAGGAGGATGTAGCAACGTGCGAAATTTGCAAGAGGGTATCACGCTTCATACATTCCTCATACAACACACCTGGTCGGCATATTTCGGACAATATCGACCACAACCTTCCCAAACAAGTGAAAATGTGTGAAAAGCAGACTTTCGTGTTCTCGATTTGACGTCACATTATCCGCTAGAGCCATTCCTCTTTAAACTCGGTCGTGGGGCAAGATGGCGGCCGATTTTCCGTATTTTGACTAGGCACAGAAAATTTAAGATTTAGGCAAATTAAAAAATTTTTGCACAGAAATACTCCAAAAAATAAGCTTATTTCGTTAAGCGAAAAAAAATTTTGGGGTTTAGGTGCACTTTAAGAAGCTCTTGATTATTAGGGTATCAAGGATTAAAACTGAAACAAGCCTTTGAACAATAATCAAATAATAGGCAGCTTTCTGAAGTATGTCAGAGCATCAGCTGCACATTGGACTCCAATGTTGTACACTGGGTGTACAGGAGCTAATTTATTATCCTGGCCTCCCACCAATATAAGTTTAGTTTGATACTTGTAAACAAAGTGCTGCGCCACAGATAACCCGCTCAAACAATAACAGGTATGGTAAAAGTCTCGTGATTTTCCGGGTTTGTCAACAAGTCCTCCCTGATGAAGCTGACAATTCATTAACAAGTAATCTTGAAGGGCCACTTGATCAAACATCCATTTCTCATTGCTAAGTAAATGCCCATCACCACTAGCTTCAATGACTGTATGAAGAAGAGGAAACACCCCTCCCTGCCAAAATGAGTAGCAACCATCAACCAGTTTGTTTGTTCTTCCTTGAAAGCCTCCTTCCAAACGCATCTGACGCTGAGTGACCCATGTGAGAAGACGCTTGTTGTCAATCAAGTGAGGCTTACCTAGCAACACCAGTGCAGCATAACCACAGAATGTGTAGCCTCCATGAGCTTCCAGTCCAGGTTCACCTGAAAATCCACCCTCATAGGTCTGGCATTTAGCAATCCATTCTGCTGTCCCTTCAAATAACTCTGGAGTCATAATATTAGTTAGGTGTGCTGCAACTACTGCACAATATGCACCACGAATGTCCACCTCACCGTCTCGATGCATTGTAAATGAACCTTCTGCAGTGCGACAACTTGCTAAAAATGACTTCAACTTGGGCCTGTTGATGACGTCATATGCTTGTCTAGTTCCCACGATGCATAGCGCGCATACAGCGGCATAAGTGGGGGCCAGATGAGGTATTTGCTGGGGACCACCACAAAAGCCACCATAAGGATCTTGACAACGCCTGAGGAAATCAGCCGTTTGAGCGTATTCTTCCTCACTCAGTTGTACGTTTAACATTTCAAGACCATGTAAAATCCAATAACAAAGCCAAGGTCGACTGGCGTCTAGACATTCATAAGTTTGAGAGAGATGGTTAAGGCCCCTCTTGAGGTATTGAACATGTTTTTGGCGATACAGTGGTAGGTCGGGATCAAGATTGGAGACTCGCATGTACGCTAAATAATTTCTTGCTACCGAGTTTTCCACTTTGTCTTGTTCTTCGGAAGTTATAGTCGTAAGGCCGTCATCTTTAAAGCGCAGATCTTCCACCGACCTTGCCGAATGATACGCCATTTTCACTTGTGTTGAGGTACTAGCTACCAGTTTGCTCACGGTAGTGAATGAGGAGGCAACCAGTGTTTGTGACGTAAAGATATGGCCATATATAGAGAGACAGAAAACATTCACTGGGGAGGCGGGGAGTTTGCATCACCTGGGCTTTCAGTGGTTCATTCCTTTAAATGAACACCGGGTCAGAATTTACGAGATGGCGGCCCCGAGAGAAACACATAAGCAAAGGAGTTTTGAGTCGATGAGCTCTCCCTTCACTGCCGTTTTTACCTCAGTTGGCGCGCAACAAAACGAAAAAGCCATGAAACTTGCCTTCTATAACACGGCTGCTCTTGTGTTCGTTTCCCTCAGTGGATGTGCCGCAGTTGCAGTTTATTATGTTTTGGAACCTTTCTTGCGCCCTCTGCTATGGGCTGGGCTGTGTGGAGCTTTTTTATATCCTTTCAAGTGGAAATTAACGCAAATAGTTCGAGGATTTCTTCGTTCTTTGCGAGAATCCAACACTCCATTAGTAATGGGTGCAATGATAATACCTTTTCAGTTGGCCAACAAATCGTCAGACGTAGTAGGGTCTTTCGTCGTACGAAAGAGCCGTATTTTTGTCGTCTTTTGCCTCATTGCAGTTATTGTTTATGTTTTGTACATTATTCAGCCATTCCATGAGATTGTTTGGGTTTTAAAGGGATCTGGATCAGCTGTACATGTCCTTTTGGACTTCTTTTATAATCCATATCTGGTAAGTAATTTTGAATATGTTGTAATTGGATTTTGTTCTCGGTTTGTATTTTTTCCTTCTGTATTTCATACAGTGGTAATTTTGCTAATGTTTGCAAGGAAAAAACTCTTGAACAGGGACAAAATCGAACTGAAAACTATTAATTATCTCCTGAATTTATTTTACTGAGTACCTGTACCATTTGCTGAAAAATATTTGTAAATGTTTATAATCTTTATTGTTGCCATAAAATTGTACACACGATATCATAAGAAAGGTCTTCAATTGTGCTAACTACAGATACATGTAAGGCCATTTTAAATCTTGCCTGGCAACCTGGCCATTGACCGGCACCTTTCCAATAGCCCTTATCACATTTACGCCCACTGTACGAGAGCTCAGCGGACTTTGAAGTTTCGAAACGAGGCTATCGGGTCACACAGGTAAAACTTTCAAGTAAAATCAAAGCAAACGGCTACGTTTGGAGGCATTTTTGTTCATTTTCTTAAGGATACAGGGTGTTCTCATCATGGTTAGACATTGTATTGTATACGGGTGCAACAGTCTATTCAGTGAATCGGCAACTGACGAGATCCACAATATTAGGATCGAAACCGCGGTCTTGCCAAACACGTTCAACTATCAAACTTGAGGCTAATAAAACGCACATAAAAACCTCTTAAATAAAGAACTTACAAAAGACCAGATTAATTTACTGGCAAAAGGGCTTAAATTCATTCCAACACCCGCTACAAAACAAAAACAGATCAGACAACAACTATTGTGTGACTTTGATCAGTTCGCAAGGAGAATGCGTCTGATTTACATAGGGGAGGACAAAAGAACCCATCCCTGCCACATCAAATCTACATGGATACCACCAATACAAAAATCAGTAGCCCTTGAAAGCTATTTAGAAGAGATTAAAAGTGACCTTTCAGAAATAGAAATTACAAAGCCAAAAGATAATTTGCTTTCGGCCGAACGCAAGGCATTGAGGGCCTTGAAACGTGACTCTAAGTTACACCTCAAAAAGGCCGACAAAGGAACAACAACCGTAGTCATGAACCGTAGTTATTTTGTCGTTCCTTTCCGAAATGACAGCCATTCTTTCAATCTTCCTTTCATGATGCCAGGACAATTACCACTAAGAATTTTAACCTTTTCCTCGGCAGAAAAAATGCAGATTCCAGAGTTATATGGTCAGACATGGAGTGTTTCTAGAGAAATGTTGATCCGATAGCCTTGTCCTGAAACTGAAACTCCGCGGACCCTTTGTATTGCAGACACAAATGCGATAAGGGCTATCGTTCACTCCTCTCTTTCCATCTCTTGGCAATCTGTTGAACAATGAAGAGCTACACCAAATGACATTCTTGACTCAAACGATCCTTTTTTGCAATACACAGAGGGGTAACTGTTTGTAAAGTATACATTATCAGGGCTCGGCACTAACTCTTCAACTTACTAGCCAAGGGGCTAGTGACAACTTAGATGTTATGACAATTTCAGTTTGTGTTAGTCTGGCTAGTGGAAATAAAAACACAGTTAAGTAGCAAAAACTGAATTTCTACTAGTCTTAGCCTAGTTGGCTACTGTTAGTGTCAAGCCCTGCCTTATGGTTTATGGAATCACAAAATGTGGTAGAATTTGTAGCCAGTATCAGTAGATCTGAAATTGTTACAAAACCCAGACCTCCAGCAACAGTTTTTACTGATTAATTAACAGATAACCCTTGGGAAATTGGCCAGAAATTATAGTGCTTCATTATTTGTGTTGTAAATGGGTAAAAATTACTCTTTTGAGTAGGAGGCTTTAGAATCAAACTGACTCCAGGAAGGTGGCCATTAGTGACCCTGCGTTCTGTGGCTGCTTAGCTATTTTTTGTAAGGTCTGTCAGAGAGGCCCACAGGTGGTCTCTGTGAAGGTAGTCTCTGCAGCAATTTCATTTTCCATTTTCCAGAGGTGTCATTTCGGAGAGCTTCAGCTGTAATTTAGTGATTAAATGAAATGTTTTTTTGTGACTCAGTTGGTGTTTGATATAGACACTTTATTCAGTGGGTTAATATGTAATATGCAGGAGTATTTTGTTGTTTTTCTTTTTGAGCCCAAAGGAGCATAGAATAATACAAGCATTGAGCCAAATGTCTGCCTCTATTATATTTTAAACCATCAATAAAGGGATTTATCGTTCCACAACTACATGTATTTCATTTTCTAGTCTTTTGGCTTCTAGTTTCAAAACTTTTTACAGCCTTATCTGAGCATTGTACCAATTGCAAAAGGTCTGTGTGAATGTAAATGACTGAAAAATGGATAAGCGCCATCATTTCTGTCCATATTTTTGCCAGTTCTACAATGGAGTACCCCTGGCATATTTGGTGCATTTCATTTCCTTAATATGGTAAAATAATGTAATAAGGCAATAACTAATTGAAATATTTACCTCTGGACAATTTTCCCTGCTCCTCTTTTCTGAGCCTAATTGTTCTAAGGCTGATTGGCACTAAACCAGGGTTAAATTGATCAATCTCTTATTTTAGGTTTGGACCATCATAATTGGTTACATTTTAAGCCTGATATTCCTCTGGACAACAAGCTCTTCAGGGGTCATCTCTATGTTTTCTCTTCCTGTTTGGATAATGTTTCTGCTTCATCTTGTATCACTCACTGGATCATACAGAATTCTATTTTTTATGCTTCTTGTAATCTGCTCTGTTGTTGGATGTATTACAGGTTTCTCCGAGGGAGAAGATCAAGGTAAGATAATTTTTTTTCAACTATCCCAGAGTAATTGTTAACTTCATTGACTAGCAGCTTCTCCTAGTAGGAAGATGGGTTTACCTGGGATATCCAGATACTTTCACTGTGTTCACTCAGCCCCTAAAAGTTTCTTTGAAGGGAAAATTTGATAAAGCAACCACAATGAAGGAACATTCTCGAGGCGTCTACTCGTGATTTCTTTCGATTTCCTTTCAAAACCTTTTTGTCTAGAATTTATGTTGCTAAACTCACAGTGTGGCTTATAGGCCAGTGTTCACAATAAAATAGTTAAGCAGTCAAGGACTGGATGTAACTAGTACATGCAGAGGTAAGTTTAAGTTGTACAGAAAGGGTGAGATTTTTGGTTTGACTTAATTAAAGGTTTTTTGTTGTTGTTGATGTTTTCCAGTTGATAGTAAGCAAGTGTGGGAAAGCAAAAGGCGCAGTCTTTTGAGGGGCCTGTCAGTGGCAGCTGCTGCCCTGGTCACCTCTTTGCCAACCTCAGATTCAAATGAATCCTGTGATGAGGCTCACAAAGAGTCATCCACAGGCCTCTCTACACCTCCATCAGCTGTATCCACTAATGAAGATAAAGATGGTCTGGATACTGTAGATGGAAAAGTTTCTTCAAAGCTTCAAAAGGGTATGATTCAAAGACCAAAGCAATCAATTAAGATTAAAAGAGAAGCTGATGCAAAATATGAGGGAAGAAGTCAAGTTTATTTTGTGGCTCTTTTCTGGGGAATTTTTCTTTCAAGACTGTGGCTCCATTGGGACTTTATTATGATTCTGATGATACCAGTGACACTGTATGGGTTAAAGCAGCTTCTGGTTTACTGGAGTTCCTCAATCTGTTCAAGTTCTCCGGCGCTCTATCTTCATTCTCAGTGGAAACATTTCAAATGTTGGGTTGATGAGAGGAGGCCAGCATTGGTTCCAACTCCACTCAACAGATTGTTTAAAGGAGGAATAAAAGTCGATCGTGCTGTAAGTTCACTTTTGCCAATGTCCAAGACATACTTTTACTTACTATGAGCATTAACAAGATATTGTGTTTCTGCTGATTAATTACACCCCATGTGGTTAACTTTGATATGAATTTAAGTCATCATGATTTTAAACAAGTTTGATCAGATTTTTCTTTGTTCTGGATAAATTGTCTTGCTAGTAATTCTTACACAGAAAAATGTATATCAAACTATTTTGTAGTAAATTATAAATTAAAATAATCTAAAATCCATTGTAAAGCAAAGGCTGTTGAAAGAAATGATATTTGTTGGCTGTAGTCTAGGGCACAAAATCCCTATTTTTAAGTACATACATTGTATAAGAGTATATTTTTTTTATTGGCATTTTGAAAGAACCTCTTGATCCACTTCTAATATCTCTTACTTTTGACATGTGAGACTGTTTTGTATCCTATACATTACATTTCCATTTATTTATTTTGTTTTCCCACCTTTTTTATTTTATTATATTTATTCATATGTATGTATTGAAAAATAAATGGAAATATGATTATCAAAAATGCAAAACAAACACCCTTGATAGTAAGCAAAATGAATGTAGATTGCATTTTTGAGAACATTTTCAAAAGTAAAAAAATGGCTGCTTAATGTTTCTGCTGCAGTTTATAAAATAACATGATCAATATTTTGAAATCATTTTTGTTGCATTTTATAGATCAACAGCGTAATGGACAAATCAATGGAAAACATAATAAGTATCTTTATGGTGCTGTTCCTTTTTGTAGCTTTCTCTCTCATTGCAGCCTTTTTTGCAGTGCAGGTTAGTTTATGTTCATAATTTACAATACACTTGTACTTGCACATGTACTCAAACCCTCAAAATTTTTTGTTCACAGTTTTTAACAGGAGTCAGTGACTGATGAAAATCATTCCTATTGTGTTTTAGCCTCGTCTACTTTGTATTTTTTTTTACTTAGTATAGCCATATCTTGTCACTAGTTGACCAGTACGAGGTCCTTAGATATATGCCTGGAGTTTGGTTAAAATATGACATCAACTGACAAGTAATGCTACAGGTCTTTCATTAGGTTCACCAAGAAAGTGCACAACTGGTGTCTGTAAGTGCCAATTTAGTGAACAAAGTGATGGCTGACAATCCTCAGCTTGTCAAGTAAGTGCAGACTAATCCCTTAGGTTAAGTAGAACTAATGAAGTGTTTGTGTTCTATACACATTTGTTCAACTTAACTCTCATTTGGATTAAATTTGATTATCTGTCAAATAGCTGGATTCAAGAAAATAAGGAACTGAAGAAAACAATGGAGTCAGCTGTAGAGAGAGCATACATGCATGGGAGAAAGTACATAGCTGCCAAGGTACATACAAATACATTGTACTTTATAATAATGTGCATGCTTATGGAAAGTATTGAAAGTGCATGTGAGATACACTAATCTAAACACAGGCATGCTGGAGTGTGACAAGTCCAGTTGCCTGGTTGTTGTGCTGTTTTCTTGGGTAAGAGTCTTTTTTCTCACTGTACTTGCCTCTCTCCAATCAAGAATAAAAATGTCTAGGAAGCCTGAGAAATTGCCAGGAGGAGGGGGGGAGGGTAACCTGCAACAGACTAGCATCCCATCCAAGGGGTTTAGCAATTACTCCAAGTGGCTTTATGTTACTGGAAGGGGAATACAAACCAAACCTTCACCTTGCATGGGTATTAACTAGAGATAGTAACAAAGTGATAAGGGTCAACAAATGGAAAAGTATGGATGAAAAAATTCAAATGACCTGCTCTAGGTTTTCTTGACATAGTTACCAGGCTGAGTAGGAATACCCAATCCCAAGTACAAATACCTACAATCCTCATGAAGTTTTGTTGAAGCACCCCACTCCCCTAACAACATTCAGTATTTCTTCAATTTTTTCACCACCAAGATTGAAAATTGGGAAAGGGAAAATTTTCAACACATGTAACAGGGATTGTCTGCAGAGTCATGTCACATTGTTACCGGTAAAACACGCCAGTAAGAAAGTGACTGTTTGGAGCTTAATACATACTTGAAATTAGCTGCTAAACTAAGAATGAAAAACCTTACTCCAGCTCTATCAGAAGGACAGTAAGATTCACATTGTACCTTCAACACAAAAGTGAGGTTGTAGCTGTGTGACTTTGCTCTCTAATTTTTTTTGTTTCTTTGTTTCCAATATATTTATTGTTAGAATTCCTTATTTTTACTGTTAAGGTTCAGTCCATGTTTGGTGACAGCAATTCCAGTGCACTCCAAGAGGAAGTGCTAGACCTGACTGATCGCATTTATCATTCATGGATTAATTGGGTAGGTCTACTTTGATCCTGCATCAAACAATGATTAGACTATGAATGAGCAAAAAACTATAGAAGAGCATTCCCATAATAGGCAGAGTAATGACAATTATCAGTGTGTGTCACAAAAGGGAAAAAAGATGAGAGCAAGAGAAGTAAAAAAGTAAAAAAAGATCAGGGTGAGAGAAGAATCATCACTATTACAGACCCTAGTTTCTTGGAGATAAGTCATGTAGAGATAATTTGGATTTCTTGGAAGAATAAAATATAAATTTTAGTTTTGATACAAAATAATTGAACCCTTTCACATAATATAGATTGCTTGTTAAAATGGACAGAATCAGAAAAGAAGTTACCTTCCACCCATCCCCATCGCCTGCACTAAAAAATTGTATCAATTAAATGAGCAAATGAAAGTAATCGACAGATACTAAACATGAATGCATGTTAATCCTTATAGGGTAATACTTCTACAGCAAAGGAGTTATCAAAGAATGGAACACTTACAATAGATGTACCAAACCACATCAACACCAGTACAGCAATCTCTTGGAAGAATATCAAGAACATATTCAATGTGTTTGATTTTCGAGTGTCTCTCTCTTTGATCAGAGAAAATCTTGGTACTCTTATTTCTGTGAGTACATTTTGTTACCAGCACAATTTCTGTTAAAAGATGAGAGCAATGAAACTCCATTTTTTGGTTTCTCTTTTTACGAGGTTTATTACACCAAATCATTTTCAACAAGTTGCTCTTTTTTAGCTGTCTTACGTGTGCATAATTATCTTTTGAAATCCTGCTGATTTTTCACCATCATCTTATGAGCCAGAACAGACAATTTTCTTTAAGATGGCACAGGATAATATCCTATGTTATTCAGCAATTAAGTAAGAAATCACACTTGTGGCAGTTTGAAGTGTTTTGTCATCAGTATGTTAATGTGGTGAATAATTTGCGTGTGATATTTATTTCAGCTGCTGGAGTCTGTTTGGATCTTTCTGAAGGGGAATATCAGTTTTGCCTTCAACCTTGTTACTACAATGCTGTCCATTGTGTTCTTCAGTGGTGCATACCTTCTGAACACTGGCATATCAATGGTAAAGGAGATGCTGTCATCCTTTTTACCACATATACCATAAATTAGTGAGAGTAAGAACATCTGGAAGACAATGATCCTTAATTGTAACTACTGAGAGCAATAAGAACATGGATTTCATGGTTCAGTGACTAAATTTGAATTACACGTTCAGGGAAGAATAGATGCATTTAAAATTAATATACAGTTTTGTCTCCTTAATTTAATTTATTAGATTCGCCGACAGGCGGGGACACCACAACAGCTTGCGCCAATTACTGTGGGCCCAGTAAACCCACCCATCCCACCCCAGGGGAGGACATCCACCACACAGTAATCTCGTGTGAGGGAAATTAACGTCTCCTACCCCTAACCCTGCAGGAGAAGGGGCCTACAGTTTATTTGTCCTTATCGGAGAAGACTAGAATATCTATCCATTTCTTGCGCAAGGTTCATGCTTCTGTCCAATAATTATGAGACTCCTTTCGCACCTTGTTCATTTTCTCATATATAGGTACTTGACAACTTAATAGCTTTTTTGGCAACGGAATTGATGTGATCTGACCTTGTTTCAGATTATTTTTGTAACTGCATTGTTTTACTTGTTGAGTACCTCTGGTGAACAGTACAAGCCTGTTGAGTGGTTTGGCAAACTAACAGCAACAGGTACATCTGGGTTTGGAGATTCTGCTTATGGAGCCATCAGGTTTGTCTGTCACAAATAGTTGTCATTCAGTTAATGCATAGGTGATGAATGGCAGCAAACACAAGTATCACAGTTATTCAAACCATGACAACTTTAACATGTCTCAAGTTAAGAACAGTATGATGTGAGGAAGACTTTTGTGGAAGAAACTTAAATCAATATGGTCAAATATTATTGACAGAGGTATTCAAGGTATTAATTTTTTGTCAATCAAAGCATGACATTAGAAGCTAAGAAAGAAAGCCAAATTACAGTTAGTTAAATAATTTTTTATTACTCCTTCCCAAGTCACTAAATATTCTAATGACTAATCCAAGATATAGGTAGGACAAGACAAAGTGAGTCCCATTGTTTACCTTTTTTTTTTTTTACTCTGTCTCATGAACTTGCAATTTATTGATTTTTCTTGGTTTGTGCAAGATTTAAAAGGCAACTGTTAAATCTCTCACTCAAATCACAATTAATTTACTTGACTGATTATTGTTTCTTTTGTTTTTCCAGAGATGTTTTTGGAGCTGCTATTAAAATGGCAGCCTTTTATGGTGTTTACACCTGGTTGACCCATACCACATGTGGTGTTAACATTGTATATATCCCGTCAGGTAAGATGGCCAGGCAAAAATGAAAATGGAGATGAAAATGATCTTACAACAAAAGTATTCTAAGTGAACTTACTTCTATGAACTAAAGGCAACAGATATCCTGTTTTTTAAAAAATCACAAAGCCCCTTTTAAGCCTTTAACACATTTCATGATAAATTATTTATAACTTTGTTCCTATAGTATGTCACAACAGCCAATTTCCCACCCAAGCCTCTCTTGTTAAAACTTGTGAACTAACAAATGGCTAATATCTTTCTGCAGCAATTGCAGCAATTACAGCTGTTGTTCCATTTATTGGCACTTACTGGGCAGCAGCACCAGCTGTGCTTGAATTGTGGTTAATCCAGGGACGAGGAATAATGGCAGCTGTGTTAGCAGTCAGTCATTTCTTACCCACATACTTTGTAGACGTTGCCATCTACAGTGAGATCAGTGGGTATGTGGGACAATTTTTTCAGTCAAAAAGTACATGCCAGTTTGCTAGTCTGCATTATGTTTGTTTGATGCAATTCATTATTGCTTTGCTTTAACAGTGGAGGTCACCCTTACTTGACTGGCTTAGCTGTGGTTGGTGGTATCTATTGTGTTGGGCTAGAAGGAGCCATTATGGGACCAATAATACTTTGCTGTTTGATAGTGGCATTCAATGTGTATAGCAGTGTGCTTGGTGACAGCAGTCCTGTGCCTGCTCCAGATGTGCCATTAGCCACAGGTGACATGCAACACAGTACACGACACACACAGCAGAAAGGTGATCAAGAGGGAAGGGGCGAGGCCTTGTCAGTCTCTTAGATCATAACAGGGAGTTGTCAAATTTTATGAAAAGAGAATGTTACTATAATTTTATGTTAGTCAGAATACTTTCAAAATTACGAGAATTATTGTTTAAAAACAATTTATGACTAATATTATGTCAGAAAATATTAAAGATCTACAATCCTAGATCACTGAATCAGCTATTAAAGCAATTGATCTTCAACTGATATTATGGTTAGGAGCGAAAAGGAAATCATTTTGCTGAGGGAAGGAGTCCCAAATGTTCCTTTTCTTTTTTACCAAGATTTGAAAATGTAGCTTTGCAACTTGCATGGATGCATCCACTCAAATTTAATGTCAGCTTTCATAATAAATTTCTTGTGGAGGTACCTTTGGGGAAATCAAAGGAAGAAATAATGTGATGCAATTGAAACAACCGACTGGTAAAAGGTATTTGAACTATGGTTGTTTTATGAATTTTTAAGTTTTACTGTGACTTTTCTCACAAGATGTAGAATTTCACATTATTCATTCACTCTGGGTAATCTGCAGAATGGGATCTTGTACCACTCACTGAAAAATTTACTTCATTATTAATTTTTGTGGCAATAAAAATCCAAGAGAACAGATTTGTGCACTGATTCATGGTACAAAATTATACATTTTTTCCCCAAACTTTTTAAAACAATTGATTTCATAATCCAAACTCAAGGTTATGATTCAAGAAACATGGCATATTTAGAGGAACCTTTTTTGAGGGTTTTTCCATGAATGAGATGTTCTTCAGTCGCACTGAGAACACACATTTGCAAAGATTAATGCTTAGAAAAGGAAAATATTGATGGTTTCAAAACAATAATAATAATTAAAGTTGGAAAATGAGCAGAGTGACAACAGTTCTCATGATTGAAACAACGTTTTGGTTTTGCAAACTAAAACATGTTTCATTCATAAGAATAACCAAGGTAGGCATAACATCACTCACAAATAATCAATATGGTACTCACAGTCTATAGGAGGGAACACTTATAATAATTTTTACCATTATTGGTACTATTATAATTATTATAATTATCATTATTATCTCAATCACTGTTCTTAAAATTATGACCTGGCTGTGAGGCCTTGGGAAATCAAATGCCCCTTATTTAAAACAGGTTGAGACTACACTCACCCCTTTCTGAACTTTTCAAGGTTGGATTAAAAGAAATTACTTCAACTTCATAATATGATATAAGTTTAAAGCCCAAGTGGAAGTTAAATAAATATAATTAAATTCTATTTCATTTAGATTTTTCAAAAGTGAAAAAAAAGAAAAATGGTTATTTAATAAAGATTTCTTTCTTTGAATAAAAGACAAATTTTGTCAAGTTTGTGATTTGTTACCGGTCTTATAAATTTACTTTTTGTTTGTCTAGGTGTCATCACTCTCCCTATGTACACTAAAAGTTCAAAAATAGTCAAAATAATAGAAATGTTACCTAAGTGAATGAGAAGTGAGACTACTACATAACTGCTTTTAGCAGAAACACAACCAGGGTTCAATCCACTGAAACAGTCTTTTATTTCAAAATAATAATGTGCCTGTAGCAAATTTTAACCCTATTATTGCCGTCTTACTCTCAGAGACAGTAAATCATGTTGAGGCTTTGACATTTGCTAACAAATTGATGTGAGTCAGAAGCAAATAAATTGAGGATGAAGCACAGAACTGGTACTTGCTTAACATTTGGCTAACGTAACTTTGCAATAGACACTATAGAAATAATGGTTGGGGTAGTAACTTACAAAAGTTGTGAGATATGTATCTAAAATAAAGTAAACTCTCTATTTGTAAGTGTCATCTCATCAACAAATCTGAAAACAACCAAAAAAAATTATTTAGAGTTTTGTATGTTAATTGAAGTGACCACAAAGTTACAGCATACATTGGTCCAACTATGGTCTATTTTTATGGTACAACTAACCTGGTAAAGCTCAATTTAAATGCTATTTTGCCAGCACTTATCAAAAGTAGTAGCTGTCCAAAAAGGAATAATTGAGTTGCAGTTGTTAAGGGGTTTAGACATTGTACGGTCAGCTTTCTCTTTCATATAGTTTAATCGTAGAGGTGAGGGTAGTCCATTGAAGGACTGTTGTTAGTAGTAGTGACCAAAATTTCAACAACCTTAACAGAAGTCATCAGTAGAGTTGCTAAGGCTGTTAAAATGTCAGTCTCTGCTGACAACAATATTCTTTCTTGGGACTACCCTGATGAACAAACTGGTCAGTCAGATCACACATTCAACTGTTACCCCTAAGTCTAAGCGGTTTATTGAGTTATGTTTTGTCTTTTTTATAATAATAACCTTGAAGAAACAGCCTAAAAATGCTTCACTTGTGATTCTATTCTGGGTATGGTGACTTTTTGCTATTATTGTAAAGCACATCTTTATGTCATGACAACCCAAAGCCATTGAATGACACCAATGCCTTTGTCTGGAGAAGATGTGCTACATTTTTTCTCTCTGTTGTCCTTTACTGTTTTTATGTTTTTTATGTTGTATTTGCTTTTGTTCTTTCTTTTACCCCAGTTGAAATCTTTACTCCAAATAAATGGCACAGCAGCTTGGCTGAACCTTATCATCATAAGTGTCTCCAATTATTCATCGTGTTGTGGAGATGAAATATGATGCAAGTCAATTTTCCCACATTGGCTTTTTTGCATCATAGTTTCAATTTCATACTTTCTATGGCATTGTGTCACTATGTAGTACTATATAATGTGTATACCTTGTCATTTCACTATTCACTCTGGGGTGATGTTCATTTTGGGTCCATGTTTCACTCTGTACCCCATCCTTCATCCAGTCACTGTAGTTTATATTTGTGGTTATTTGAGTGTGGTAAATTTCATTTGGTCCTGAAATTAAATCAATTCCACAATTCCAGAGAATTTTTTTCAGTTTACACAACTATCGTGCCTTTTCAACTAACTAAACACCTGAAAAAGGCAACCTTTTCAATAGTGCACATTCTTATCAGGTCATACAGCCAGTGCCAGAGATATTCTCTACACATCCCACACCATGGGTTACATGTAAGCATCACCAATCAAAGCTGATGTCAGACTGCAAGAAAGTCAAAATCCAGACAGCTACCAAGTATTGGTGATGGAAAATCTCCTTTTTGAATCACTGGAAATTTCTAAAGGTTTGCATGAGGGTTTGGTGGAATTCAGCGAGTTTTTCAGACAGCTTTTGAGACCAAAGGTTTGCATGAGGGTTTGGTGGAATTCAACGAGTTTTTCAGACAGCTTTTGAGACCATACTGAGAATTTAGGGGTGCATGTGGTGAATGACAAATTTATCAGGTTACACTGTAAATCAGCGCCCACATGACAAAATGAGAATAATTGCCAAAGATACAGACTGTATTGAAGCCTACCATGACCCCCAACCCCTCCTCCCCCAACCTCGTTTCGCTTTGTAATTACCCGCCAATCAAGGCTCGGTCAAAAACCAGACTAATTCACAAACCATGACAAAGTCAAAGTCCAAATGGATTCTAGGCAATAAGTTATATTTACTGACGATCAAATTCCTCCACGACAGTTAATGGGTCATATAATAATGTAACATAATCATTTGGCAGTCATGATCACAAAGTTTAAACAATTCAATAAACCACGACAACAACGTGCAGAAAGTATTCGGTAAACAAATTATACAAGTCGATCATGCGAGAAGCGTTTGGCATTCAGTCCGGGAAAAAATATCGGAAGAACGACTACAAATCAAATCAACCTGAATAGTGTTTAATTATAAAACAGATCTCACCGAGTTTTGGCCGGATGTGTTTGTTTAGTCGTTCAGTGTACTTCACGTAGGACCCGTTTGCTTCCGAGTTCGGGTAAACCGGCTCGCTAAGCGTCGTACTCTTAGCCCCACTGCTAGACGCAGTTCCCTGCTGCCCGCTAGGTGCTGGTTCTATTCCTGGTCTAGTAACAGCAGTCTTGATTGCATCTTGTACACCCAAACGCGTCAAATTGAAAAAGGACATCGCCATCTAGGTGCCACAAAGATACTCAGCCCTCACTACAGCTGATATTTTGCTTGTAGTATTTCTCGTCGCCGTGGTGATCGTGGTGATCCACCTCGCTTCAAGGAAAACCTCATTTTCATGTGTGAGGTCTGGGCATAAGCACGGATAAAATGGCGGACCAACGTGAGTTTCTGCGGAAGATCATGACAAAGTTCCCATCTGGGGTTTCTTTGGCTTTCGCGTACGGTTCTGGAATATTCGCTCAGATAGGAAATACCTCTCCAAATAACATGTTGGACTTTGTATTTGTACTTGAAAATGCGCGTAAGTGGCACGAAGACAACATGTACACGAGACATCATCCACATCACTATTCATTCGTTCGGTCGTTTGGTTCGCGTGCCTTGGTTTCGTTTCAAGATAAGTTCGGTGCGGGTTTGTACTATAATACTCTGGTACCAATGGACGGAAGAATGATTAAGTATGGAACAATAAGCCGCGAGAACTTTCTTCTGGATCTAAACGATTGGCAGTGGTTATACTTGGCAGGACGCTTACATAAACCCGTTCATTTTGTACTTCGACCGCATGACGAAGATATTTCATCAGCTTTGAAAGCAAACTTAAATAGTGCTCTCACTGCAGCACTCCTTTGTCTTCCAGAGTACTTTACAGAGGAAGAACTTTTCCTCAGTATTGCAGGTTTGTCTTTCAGTGGGGACTTCAGAATGGTTGTTGGAGAAGACAAGAATAAAATACAGAACATTGTTGGTTCAAATTTCAAACATTTTCAAGAGCTTTATAGACCAATCCTATCCGAAAATGGCCAACTTCATTTCAATTCTACCTCTTGCAAATATCACCAGATTCAAGAAAATGATGTAGTATTTTCTCGACTTATGTCATTACCCAAAAATGTACAGAAACACATAGCTCGAGCTGTGGAAGGGAGATGTTTCAAACAGTCATCGATTGAAAATGTGTTAATCAAGGTCTCACAAGACAGAGCCAACTGCTCACGGATGGTCAAAAAAGGTTTGACTTCAATTGTCAAAAGATCAAGCATTACACAAAGTCTAAAAGGGATCCTTACTGCTGGGGGTCAGAAGACGTTGATTTACAGTGCACAAAAGCTTACAAAGATGTTAAAGGGATTTTGGATAAAATGAAATATAATGTTTTCTCCAACCACAGCTAACTCTTCCTTACAAGCCATTGCTAGCCGAAAATAAAAGTTTTCCATCTGTGGTCTTTGTCTCCTACAGACCAAGAGTTTATCTTCTTTGACCTGAGGTGACAAAAATCTCTCTCTCAGTTGCCAAAAGGTCTTCAGATGGCATATATCACAATAATTTTGATAATTTTGTGAAATTTTTGTACTTTCTCACCCAAAGTGAGGAGAAATTGAGAGGGCAACAACTTTTTTCTAGAAAAATGATACCCTTGGGTATATTTGAGCATTAAAAATGACTGTTTTACACATATTGTTCAGACAAATTTGAAATGTAATTCTTAACAATAAACTTTTTTTCATCAGTTTGTTTGAACTTTCCCAATTTCCCCCTACCCTAACTTCCTCTGGGCATTAAAGTTTCCATGTTTCCTTTTAAGGGTTTGAGAAGGCCATCAATTATAACATTACCAAGGGTCTGAAATATTTAGATATGTATGGTTTACAGCAAAAGCATAAGGATTCCCCTAAAAAAACACTCCTCAAGTACAAGTAAACTGAATACATGGTCAAACATGGATTAGCAAATGTCAGCAACAAGTCAGATTTTTAGTTTTAATGCGGACAGTGATTGTTTCCTCTCCTAACAGATCACGGAAAGTATAGGTGCAGTTGGATTTTAGTAAGAAGATAGAAATATAAGTATGTAGAGCTATTAGGAAAATAGTTTAGCAATACCTAGTTTTATGGAAATTGGTTGCCCTCTGACTGTTGTTATTTCTGAAACAGACGATTTGGCTAAGGCTTAAGCCTTCATCAGTGATATGAAAAACGAATACCCACTCTGGCTTTTTATTAATAAGCTAGGTGACTCAAAGTTGTGTTACTACTAATAGGGTTTTCAAGCATAAAATCAAAAATAAAGGGATCTCAATCATTGAGAACAAAGGTCCATTTAAGAATGGGCCAGCATGGCCAGTGGAATCATTGACTTAAAATACAAAATCTACATGAAAGTGGCTTCACCTGTGAAAAAAAAAAACCAAAAAAAACCAAAAAAAAAACCAAAAAAACAAAAGCTAGCAGCTGAGATGCGATCAGCTGTAAGTTATGCATCTGTCTAGTTCCTTGGAACTGAAGCTGATTCGAGGTTTTAAAACTGATAACATAGATGGCAAAGTAAAACCACAGCAATCCTGAATTGATTTTCACCCTCGGTCGCACACTAAATTACTCCACGTCATTGAGGTTGTGGAATCACATCTCTTTTGACTTCTTTAGGAGATGCTGCAGACACATACAGAGCCACGATTTTGGTTTTGTCCAGGGGACATCTGAACATAAAGACATTATCCATGTCTCCACGCGCTTTTCCTCCAAATATGGTCAGCTTGTTCCATTTCTGTGAGAGCACACCACTAACTCCATCTTCTTTGCTCACTTGTTTGCCGTCCACCCAAAGTGACGCAGTCCTTGACACAGAATCAAAGCTGCCTACGATGTTATGCCATTTTTCAGCAGTTACATCTGAGGAGCTAGACTGGATATGAAACAGTTCTCTGCCCGAGTCCCCTCTATGCACCCATTCTCCTCTGCCATTGCGTAGTTGTAAGTCATAGCGAACATAGTTTCTTTCATCGGTGGCTGTAATTAGAGGAATAACTCCCTGACCGTTTTTTAATTTGACCCACAGTGAGATCGCGATGGACTTATTTGGTTTTCCCTTGAAACCAGGTTTAAGAACTAATTTCCCATTGTTCCCAAAATCAACAGACCGTCCCTGGTCAGCATGGTCTTTTAAAACTCGCGCCTCGCCTTGAAGCTGGCCATTGTTCTTTTGTGGTGAGTCGTCAAACACCAAGTCACCAGCTGACTTTTCAAACGTCAGTTTAAGCACCATGCATTTCTGATCAAATTCTGCGGGATTTCCGAGGCCTGGGGGGAGAAAGAAACCGTTAACTTGAGACAAAATTACTCTGTTTCAGTTGTCGTCATTGTTGTTGAGTCATTGTCGGTAGAGATTATGAATTTCACTGCCTCTAACTTTATCATGTACCTGTTTGAAATTTACAATTTCATTCTCAAATAAAAGACAGCAAGGTGAATTACGAAATAGTTCCTAAAAATGATAAGATGGTAATCTAGAATTCATTTCATGTTTTAGAATGTTAAACCGTTTCTTTGTCTATTTTCGTGAGAGGAATATGAATTATGATTTAAGGACACGTTTCTCTTTTTGCTTTTACACGAATTCGAACCGATTAGTTTCGTGTAAAATTAGAAGAATTCCTATAGCTGGTGAGTGAGAGAAAAACACTACAATATTAGTGTTAGTGGTACCCAAGCACATCGCGCTTTTGTCGTAAAAAAGAGGAATGAAACTGCGATGTTTCTCTATTCTCCTGTTGGAGCAGTTTTCAACTGAATATCGAATAAAATCCCAGATTACTTTGTTTTTGCTTTACTTTACTCTCTGCCTGGCCCAGAAACGTTGTGTTACCCTTAACCGACTAAGTCCAAAACTAACACCAATCCTGACAGGTGACTCGCTCTTTCCCACGCTTCAAGCGCTTCGTTTCTTTTCACTCTGCGTTCATCTTGGCTTCGTTTTATAAATTTTCCTTTTTTCCTGATCAGCCGTTTTATGATAACTTTGGTTTGGCTCCCTGACACTCAGTCAAAAAAGCGCTCGATGACCCATTAAAACACCAAACGATGTTTGACCCATAAGCTAGGCAGTTCCATTCATGAATGCTGACATCTAAAAGGGGAACAAGCAACGAGACTCTGTCTTCCATCTAGGCCTAGTTATATACCTGCCAAGAGTACTTTTACACTCAGATTGCATTGACACTGATTAGATTTCATGTACGGTTACCTCGCGTGTTCCTTAAATACTTTGGCAGGAAAGGAATGGTTTCCACGCGGGATACCTATGTCAGCAAACTCCGCGACATATTTAACAATTATTCCACGAGCGCGCGTTGGATATGAGATGATAGATAGCCAACGAGGCGCGTAGCGCCGAGTTGGCTATAATCATCCCATATCCAACAAGCACGAGTGGAATAATTGTTTTTTTTTAAAAAAAACGCCCCCAAGATATTAGACATATCTTCTCGACTTTATTTTGTAAGAAGAAAAAGGATGTTACAATGTACAGATATTGGATTATGGTATATTGGCTCATATACCATAATGGCTGAGCCAATAAAAAGTCTTGAATTGCATTATCCAATGATCCAGTATTGAATAATATCGGTTATTCTAGACTTGGTTCGACAAAACCACTACCTAGGATGGTAGTCTTGTTCCCAAGTCTATGGGATGAGAACACAATAACCTTTTCCTTTGTGACGAGGCAAGTAAGTATGGAAGGTTAAGTCACTCAGCTCATTCTTCGCTTGTATCAGTGAAAAATCTACATTCCAAAGAGCAAATTCCAATTGAGTATCGATAATAATCCTGAATTGTGTTGATTTTGCTCAGTTCACATTGTTAATTGGTCCAGAAACTCACGCCACACTCACGACCAATCAGATACGAAACTAATCCACTAGCGTGTCAGTCAGTCACATTTTCCCGCGTTTCGGATAGTTTGCTTATTCTTAGTGTGATTTGTAGATGGCTCCTCAAGTTGTAATATTTAATCTTTGGTTTTACAGTTTAACAACACTCAATCGAAAATCGGTTTAAACGAGGCAATCTTACTCACTATTTATCTCATCTGAGGGGTCCGGTGTAGACTGGGTCCCAGTTGGCGTGATTGTTCGAGGAACCTTTGAATTGCCGACATTTTGTGGTACTTGCAGCATTCTAGCTAACCCAGCCTGACTTGCTGTCCGTGAGGCCTGGGCCCTACGGAAAGGAAGTGCTTGATTTGCCCGGCCCTCAAGCATGCGACTTCCCTCGACACCTGCTCCTGATGGACCTGGGAACCAGACTCCACCTTGAGCACCAATAGCAGCAGACAAAGGGTTCGTAGGTTTTGGATTAAAGAATGGGAAGTCCATATCGTTGGTATCAAAGGTTCTGCGATAGAGCTGATTCTGAACAAAGTGCTCAATCTCTGAGTCGATATCCTTCGCTATTTTTATCGCTTGTCTCTTTGCTGCATACAGTCGGGCTAACTCGGGGCTCATTATCGTTGATCGCGGGACAGGTTTGGGGACAGGTCTTGGGACTTCTGAGCGGAGAATGTAGGGTAGATAGTACTGAGGAATAACCTGTCCGCCAAGATACTGTATCGACAGACTTGGCACAAGGCAACAGAGGAGAGCAAGGATTTGTAGGTTTGTCATGGATATATTCGACGACACTGTGAAGCTTAATTAAAGAGGTACAAAATAAATCAAATCGTGTGGCTTTCCTGCGTTGTAAAATGAAGGGTGGGATGTAAACGAACGATGCACACGTCTAAAATTAAACGCCCTTTTTAGGTATGACGAAGTTCTTTGGTGCAGGACTACAGAGAAGTAAGACTGTTTTCATTAAATAGACATAAAGACAAATTTAAGGCAACCTGTAATTATAAATTAGCCGAATTTGTCACAAAAAACGCGCACTAAGCTGAGATCCATCATGTATCAAACTCGTAAGAGTTATCGGCGAGTTAACATGATATAATTTTTAACACATGATGGATAAATGTTCCTCACAGTGTCGGATTTCGTATACTAGGGAAGTAATAACCTTAGAGGAGATAAATTATCGGTTCTGATTACTTTTTATGCAAATAACGAGAAAATTTATTGACGCGGAAAGAACTCCAAATGTTATGGCTGTCAAACAAAACAATCAATTAGCTAATTAAGTAATGAAAAATACAACAATTGGTACTTTAAAAGCTTTTCACGGATGTGAAAACAAATAATTACAACATAAAACTGTCTTCCTCAAACATTCACAGCTTGAGCGCGCATAGCAGATCTTTTTTAGCATTACTTGCGTTTCCTAGGTTCGCTGAAGTGTCACATACCTTACGAAAGACGACTGGTTGATAGCGTTAAATAGACAAGCTCCAGGAAATTTCTGCAGTTCCTTTTGCCGGGGTTCTCTAAAATGCCGTTGACAAAACGATTGCAAACACCGAAGAAAGTAAATCTACAGATGATTTAAACATTTAGCCTTAAACTTGAAGGTAAACTTGATTGTGCGATCGTAACCTAACTATAACAGGTAAGTTTTCTGGGTTGGATGATCATCTAAATTATTCAAAACGGTTGAAGTCTGTTGAACCGAAATAGCGGTATTCCTAAGACAAAATAAGGTCACAAGTATAATCAAACACTAAAATTATCGCAAAGCCAGACTTGTCATTGTTATTCTGGTGCGTGAAAGTAGACAATAGAACTTAAGCCTTTCTCAAAAAAAAGGAATGTTCACATCTCATTGGTCATTCAGCTAAGTTAATGGCGCCTCTTGGAGAATTGTGGCAGGAAATTACTGATATCACTACTGTTGCGTTCGCTTATTGTTGTGGTTCATTTCCCTTCCACCTTTTCGATGAAAACAAAAAAAAAATTGGAATCTCTCTCCACATGTCTAATATAGCAAGCAAGTAAAATTTGTCGGCACATGATCACAATTCGTTCACTCCAACACCGCAGATACTTCTGATCATTTTGAATAGCAGAAAATACGGTTCTCCTTTTCCTATTTCCCAGATAGTCCGGTGAGTTGCACTCATGGTAACTATCGAAAGAACACGCCTCTTCCACGGAGGAAAACCCTTTTACATTTGTACACGAGATCATCTCTTGATGCAAGACAATCACAGGTGGTATGAGTTGTCCTTCTTGCTTAGCGAATACCTCACTTTTCATTTCTTTAATTTTTCGTTAATCGTTACGGCAGTTATCGTTTTTATTCGTCCTTCGATTTTATTTTTCTCCAAATAGAATTCGTGCAAGAGGCATCATACTTCCATAGGCTTTCGGCTTAACAAGGCAATGGGTTAATGTTTCTGTGGGATCAACAAACAACGTTGACATAACAGAACCCCTAGACACAACAAAGGACTTTCAGATTTTAATCTTTCCATCTTCATTGGCAACAAAGGAATAACTTCATGATCCCACCATTTTTCACTCAAAAAACGAGAACAAGAAAAATCAAGCATAACTATGTTTGTATATCTCATGAGCAACTACTTTCAAAGACTGCTCGCCTTGAAATAAGAAATTAGCCAAATTTATCTGGATATCTGCCTCTCACTACGTCCAACATCCACTTTGAACACCAAGTTCACTAAAGTCAGAGATGACAGCTTGACCAGGGATTTTTTTGACTGTTGTTTTTAGTGGACATTTCCGAGAACAGCACAAGTGTGCATTGCTCTTTGGTGGAACACAGTAAACAGTCTTCACTCTGCTTCATAGTTCTGTTCTGATGCTGCTGCATTGACCGCTGCAGCTAATTCTTCTCCTTGTTGTAACCGATCTCCTAAGAAAAACAAAATACTTTCAAGAACTTGTAACAAAACTCTTCCCAACCGAGAAGCAGTGACTTCAATTTATCAGCACTCACTTTAGCAAACAAATCCAAGCCGGAAAAACAAAGAAGTGCTCCTTCTAATGCCCAAAGCATCCAGCCCTTCCCCAAGAAAGAATGACTTATGGAAACAGCACTTACCGTACCAAAACTTCAATTCATACAGAAAGGCAACATGAGTTTAAATGAATGGACAGGTTCTATCCTAATTTTCCAAGGGGGAAATGACTTTTTAACAATGTAAAGAGGATAGGTACTTTACATAGGTGAGTCAAACTGAAAAACTGTAATGGGGTGAACATAGGAAGAGGACAGAAAAAGGAAAGAACCATGTGCATAGATGTGTCTCTAAAGTAATATATTTCTAACCTGATTTTACAAATGAGAAACTAAAACACGAGCCACAAAGAAGGATATTCACATTCTTGTCCTCCTTTGTTGCTCAAGGAAAATGTTCCTAGGGCTCCCCAATGGTAAACATGAAAAACACTCTATTGTTTGCAACTAATGCATAAATGCCATTCCATTGACAAAAGGATGTTAATTTACATCTTATAATCAATAGGTAGAGACTTGACTACTCACTTATAAGTTCAACTATTGCTCTCTGTGTCCTCTTCTCTAACTTCTCAAGTTTCTTTGCAACATCTCGCTTTAAATCCCTAAAACAAAAATCCTTGTAGTTAAAACTGTGGTCCTATACAACACTTGAGAATGCCTTTATAAGTATTTATAATTTTCCAAATAAATAATCAAGTGTTATTGCTAATTGCAAGGTTTTGGATTGCAACTTTAATTAATCACTGCACATAGTGCTTGACTTCTTCATCGCACAGGAAAGACTGACAAAAATGCAGTCAAAACATTGCAATCTAAATCTGTTTAGAAGCAACTGAATCGTAAATAATAATAATAATAATAATAATATTTAATACTTATATTGCGCTTTTTCTATAAAAATACTCAAAAGCACATTACAATATTAATTCTTAAACCCGGTAAAATTACAATATTTACAGTATAAAAATTTCCAGTAAAGGTAAACATTGGCACAATAAACTACTTCTTTAGACAGTGTCCTTAACCTAGACACATGCCTGAGACACACACAACTTTAAAAGGCAAAAGAGACCATCTCAAAGCTCCTCTTAGCAGTGGAACAGGAATTTGATGATTTTTGACAATAGTTGTATCCCAAATTCCAAAATAGATAATTTTATCAAGGTCACTCAAGGTCATGAACCAAGCATCTGTCACATGATCAGCTGCTTAATTTTGTTGCCAAGAGTTTTGAATTCCTTTTGGGTTAATTTGTGAAAATATTTCAGTAATTTCCACCTATAGGCCAGATTCAAGTCTTAAACAAAAACAAAAACAGAAACAAAAAACAGAACTAACCAGTCAGGCTTTCTTGGTGCCAAATTGGCCAGGTCCTGTCAATAATCAAAAACAATTATTAAAAATACTTATTGAATATTGTTAAAAGGAGAGGTTGCTACCTCACATCTTAAAACCAGTTGCTTTCATTTTAGTAAATGTTCAATTCAGCCTTCTCACTTTCATTTGTGGGGTCAGTTTTGTATGGTAGTGAGTAAATTTTCCTCCACCTTTTCTTAAAAATTTACCAGATGGACCAAGGTTGATTCAAATTTTCTTCATCCACCATCTCATAAATAAGCCATACACAACTGAGAATTTAATTCTCTATATTTTTTATTTCAGTGTGACAGGAAGTGATGGATCAATATAATTACAAATGTACAGGTTGATGGAATAGAACAAGTATACTGCACTTTATACCCCAAAAATAAAATGTTCAGTCTCTAGGTTAAGCTGTGGTTTGCCTTACCACTTCTTCTATAACTTTGTCAGCTTTTGCTTTCTCAAGGTGCTCTTGCACTTCATCTTCAACTGTGTGATAAAATTAAAAGAACCCAAGACACAGATTTTAAATTAATTTTAAAGACAAGCTGCATCAGTATTGCAGCAATAAAAATTACAAATGACTTGAAGAATGCAAAATGATTCTGAGAGTCAACCAGTTGAAAGAAGAAAATAATATTTCTGGTGTTTACAGTTTTCTGAATTTCACAGTAATAAACCAAGAAAAAAAAAATGATTACCAACAAAGAAGATTAAACAGATTGCAGTCACAATCTTGAAAACTTCAGGCTAAATTGTTCATAATAAACAAACTGTCATGTAGTTCGTTGATACCCTTTAAAGCTCCCCTGCTACAACTAGAGAACCCTCTTAGAAATCCATAAAACAATAACAATAAGGGTGACAAGGTTATCCATTTTCAGATCACCTGGCCAACAAATTGAGATCAATCAGATCAAATATCACTGGGTTACAATTGCTATTTAACAATTATTGGCCGAAGGCGAGATGAATATTGGTGAATAATCCCCGAGATGAAGTCTAGGGGATTATATATATCTTATTAACCAAGCGTGAGGGCTGTACTGGGAGAATATCGGCCCGAGGTCTTGACAGTACGGACCAAGCGCAGCAAGGTCCGTACAAAAAAAAGCGGGGGGCGATATTCTCCCAGTACGGCCCTTGTACTTGGTTAAATTAATTAATAAGAGATTTATTAGACGACTGAAGTTCAAAGGGACACAAGTGCAGTATCATTCAGGACCGTTTGGGACAGTGCCCGGTCCAATACTGAGAGAATATTGACAGGCAATAGAGCATTTTGATTGGTTGATTTTAGTTATTGGCCCTCTGACTGCCCGAGTCGTGTAATAATTGACAATATTCACCGAGCCTGAGGCGAACAATTGTTAGTATAATGTCAGAGCTGAACAACAGAGAAATTTCTAAAATCATAACATTTTAGTAACACTTATTAACATTTTATTTTAACATTTTATATAAACCGCGTGGAGTGGTTTATATAGCATCATATAAGGAACCGCTCAACCAATGAGATTGCTGGAAACTCTTTGCTCAGCTCTGAAATTACACTAAATCTAAATATCAATATTCATCTATCCAGTTCTCTAGAAAAATTATCTGACATTGAAAATTTATGATTATGGAACAAAGTAACCAGAAACACCACACATAGCTAAAATAGTTCAC